AAACCTCTTGCCGCACTTATTTGAAAAATGTTTGCACGTAGGCAACATTTCATTATTTAAAATTGTAATCCTTTTTTTATTGGGTTTCGCAATCCTGTAAGTTATAATTCTATTATATAAATATTGTTTTTCATTGTTCATTTTGTCTCATACGCCTTTTATGGCCCGATGTATGCATTTTATGCAAGATTTTATGTCTAATGTGTACACATACAACATGTGACACAGGAATAAAATATTTTCTTCTTTTCTTTTTTTCTTCGTCTTCTTCCTATTATTATCAATCTTCCAGTTAGGACTGGTGCGTCACTCAGTAGGTGTGGTCGTACTTAATCCCCTCCTGGCCTCCTCCCAGTGTAACAACTCGGAATATAGAGGTGTGTTACAAATAGGACGTGTCACTAATGGGAGATAACCTATTATAATGTAGATATCAGCGCAAGTGCTAAGCACATTTGACCATATTGTCTACTCCGATACCGTGCAACGCGCCAGGAAAAGTACCAGACGCCTCAATCACTTACTTGTCAATATCATTGCAAGAGTGCGTAATCCCGCTAACAGAGTACTGGTTGAAACTGTTAAAGTGCAAACCATTTCAATACTTTTACTTAAATAGTGCAAACCATTTCAATACTTTTATTTTACATTTCATTTATCTAAATTCCATAACTGGTTCAATATGTTTCCAAGTGCACCGAAATTCTATGCCCTTTGTCTGTTTAATATATTCAGCAAACATTCGGCGTTCCCCTCTTATCATAAGCCCCTCCGGGCAGGACCCTTAATCTCCAGCGCTATCTATAAATTTTGATTAACACCTCCTAACGTCGCCGGATCTTACGTATATACATACACGTGGGACAATGACCTTACCACACGTTATGTAATACCTCGCTCTACAAAACCCGACTGACATGGTCAGTCAGGGAGACAGCCTGGAGAACAGCCAGAAGGTAAGTGACAGAACGGTTCTCCCACCCGGGAAGATTGGCCACTCGGTCCCGGTGTGCGTTCTGTCACGTTATTATCAACATGTACCTTTTCGACTCATTTCAACCATCAACAATAAATATGGCTGCTGTCGTCTAAACTTCACCCCTGAGTTTTGTCTTCCGTCATCACCCTGAGCTACCATCCGAGGGCAAAAAGGTACGCCCTGGAACAGAACTCAGAAAATTCCAGTAATGTTGCTCCCTACTAAATCAGTTTTATTTGAAACTTGATGATATTTTCTCCCTTTACCAATATATATATATATATATATATATATATATATATATATATATAAAACAATGTTTGGATATCTCATCTATTCAAAATTGTTTAGGCTTTGGATACCTTCATTGTTGATTGTTTCAATTGCCTGTTCACCACCTAACATTGCCCTTAGAGTTTCATAAACGTTACCATTTGTATGCAAAATATTTGCCTTCGTTAAGTTTTGTAATCTTATTATCGAAGCGGCCGGGCTTGTGGACTAGGACACAAAAATCGTCGTCAAAAACATCTGATATCAAATGTACCGTATTTCCTCTATTAGACGATCGAGCATATATTAATTTCGCGAGAGCCGCTTGTAACCTCGGGGTTTGTATTGGAGACCAAGCGTCTAAAAAAATAATGGGCAAAAGAAACGCCAGCAAACAACTTTCTGGTCTAAAACAAAACAGACGCAAAATCTAGTAACAGTTCTAGTTCTAGTTTTATTATAAAAAAACCCAAACAATTATTCAAAAACGGTATTTGAAAATGACAAGATAAAAAACCATGTACTTAAAGTTCTGCAGACACGTTTTTCATGCTGGGTGCACTGTCCAGTATTCGATCACACCCGCAGAATCGACGTCGATCTCTTTTAAAGTCCCGTACAACACATATTGCACAGTATCGGATGTGACCCCCTCCAGCAACGGTGCAGGCCCCAACACGACGTCGAACTGAGTACACGAGTCTCCTGACATCCTGATTAGGGATCCTACGCCATTCTTCCTGCAGCCCAATTGCCAAGGCATCCCTCGTCAATGGCGGCTGTTGACGATTCCGAATCCTGCGTCCAAGTTGGTCCCAGAGGTGCTCTATGGGCGACGGGTCCGGTGATCTGGCTGGCCACTGTAATACGGTCACGTTGTTGGCGTTCTGAAAGTTGCTCGTGACTCGAGCTGTGTGTGGTGTGGCGTTGTCCTGCTGAAACAGCGTCCGTGGGTGTCGTTGCAGGAAAGGCAGTACCATAGGCCGCAAAACCTCATAAATGTAACGACGTGCAGTGAGATTTTCGTCGATGATGACCAGATCTGTCTTCTGGTCCCCGCAGCTGCCACCCCAGACCATGACACTACCACCACCATAAAGATAGTCGAGGCATGTTCGTTGTTTTAAACGGTTTCTTGTGATGAGAGAGTACGATCCTGCTCATGTTTTATACCAAAATTTTATACTGGTAACTTTGTGTACATTTTGCATTTTGTAGAGATTAAATTCACTTTTCTCGCAAATCACGTGAAGCACGTGCACATGTTCACATGGAACATAGCATACAAGCTATGTGTTCCCAACTGTTTTCGTGCTGTTTGGCAAATTTGTTGAAAACTGACGACCATTATTTATTTGGTGGCCTTTCCTTTGCCCGCTAGTTTATATAGTGGCAATACCGATATGGTATACAGTTCTTATGGGTGATCGGCGGCCATTTTGTTATGGATCGAAATGTAGGCTATCGATGTATTCATTCACGGTTTAGGTGTTAAAAGGCTTAATATATTTAAAAGAGGTTTCAGTGGGGAAAAGGATACCTCTTTTTAACCAATCAGGATCGAGCATTCTTCAGTGTCATGGTAGAATGCTATTTACACCCCATAAAATAACTTTTATTCTCGATCTTGATCAGACAGAAATTAAACGCCTGCTGTCATTATCACAAAGTGAGTGAGTTGGGTTTAACGCCGCTTTTAACAGTATTCCAGTTATATCGCGGCGTGTCAGCTTAATGTTGGGGGAAAACCCGAAGTGATGCAGGTCTCAGACGTTTACCACCTTGGTGAAACCAACGAGCACGGGTATGGTGCTGACAAACCTAGAAACATAATCAGGGCGAACCGGGATTCGAACCCACAATTATAGGTTTCTGGCGTAGCCAAGGGACGCAACTCTGCACAGCGAATCGCCGCGCCTTAGACGACTGGGCCACCCATGCCCCCTATTATCACAAAGACACCTGTACATTTGGCCGCCGGCAAATGACAATATAATTTGTTCATCTTTATTGGTATTTGGGTTATGATGGCATACATTATCAGCTCACAAATCAGTATATATGTCGTGATGTAATGTATACTTTGGCCATTACTGTGTATGCACATATCTTATTGACAATTGATATCCAGCAAGTACTTGATATGTACGAAATAGCATATAATGCAGTTTTATGTGCATATTCACAAGTTTACACAACCACGATCCTAAACCACCACGTGACCTTGTTTGTTTAACGCCGCACTCGGCAATATTCCAGCTATATGACGGCGGTTTGTAAATACATGTAATCGAGTCTGGACCAGACAATCCAGTGGTAGACAGCATAAGCATCAGTAAGAGGCGACTAACCGGATTGGGTGGTCAGGCTCTCTGTATCAACCAAGACAGCGAGCCTGACCACCCGATCCCGTTAGTCTCCTCTTACGACAAGCATAGTCGCATTTTACGACAAGCCATGGTGGCAAATATTTGTAAAACATCAAATTCAAGCTTACTGTCACAAGGAAAAATGTTTTCTATAAGGGGGGGAGCAATTAATCTGACACGCCACGATATAACTGGAAAACTGTTGAAAGCGGCGTTAAACCCAACTCACTCACTTTATGTAGGACAAAAATAGCCAAATAGATTTCAACTGTAGACAGTTTTCACTTTGGTGAACCCAACCGACCATCGGGACGAATCTGAAATTCGAACGCACGATATGCACATCCAAGTACTGCTTAGGGCCGTAACTCTGCACTGCGCATTTCGTCGCCTTACACCAATAGGCCACTCTTTTATACACAGTCCGTGAGTTGTTGTTGTTTGTTGTTTAACGTTTAATTGGGATCGATGACATGTATCAACCAAGTCAGCGAGCCTGACCACCCGATCCCGTTAGTCGCCTTTTACGACAAGCATAGTCGCCTTTTACGGCAAGTATGGGTTGCTGAAGACCAATTCTATCCTGGAATCTTCCCGGGTCAACAGTCCGTGAGAATGACTATTTGTTTTCGTCACTTTGAGCTTATCTCACATTGACATTCTGATATTTCTATGTTCACATGTTATCTTGTTATCTGTTTACACTGTGGTGTGGAACTGCGAACTGACAATCTACATTGTTTCACATTTCAACAGACGCATATTGCCCCCACCCACCCACCCAAAAAAAAGAAGAAAAAAAAGAAAAAAAAGTATATTGATCGAAGTACCCATATCCTGACGTGCATTCTGATTGCCTTGCCTTCGAATTGGGGACGAGCCATTCGTCACCACGATGAAAGCCTCGCGTGGAGATTACGCAGCGTTTAGAATGAGCTTTCGATGACTACCTTTACGTTTAGGTGAGTGTTTTTTAAATCAATCTTTCGTACATGTTTGTTAAACATCTTCAGGCGATGTTTGAAACATTCATGTGTGACGTGGGATTATTAAATCGTCGTTTTCTTCTGTTTATCTAAAAACATGCACTAATGGCACGCGATCATGACTATAATTCATACAGAAATCATCGTCATTATGTTTACTCAATAAAAACCAGCTTAATCAGCAGCTTATAAATAAGCGCGATGAGAATTTGTAAATCGTGTTTTGAATAAATAGGCGTTAACGCAAGCGCACGAACCACATTTACAATAGACCTTTAACGAACAACCAACTTCGACTGGAAATTCTGGATTCAGCCAGTAACGCAGCTCAAATGTGTCAAGTGATCAAAGGGCGATAACTGAAGTATGGCGTGTATGGCCATTGATGTTTACTGCTTATGCTAAACACGTGGTAGCAGCGAGAGAGGTTAACTCGAGTAAACCAGTCAATCTCGTATAACGGTGAATTGCATCAAAGTGTTCGGTTGCGGTGATTGTTGCTGCACAAAATCATTCGAACCGATATGGCGTCTCTAAAGAATGTTGGAAGATCGCTCGCAAGATGCACATTACAAAGTGTTGCGAGGGGGCCGCATATTCGTAAGTTTTAACTCATCACTTCCAATGTCGATAGCTGTCAGAACCCTTTCTTTGCATGTCTTTCTTTGTCAATAACATGTTTATCATACGTTAAACCGTTTACTATGGTGATGTATATTACCAGCTGATTATGTAATGTATAAGTATGCTATTGTACATTGCGATACGGTATTCAACAGTTGGCCATGGTATAGTAATACCCAAGTATTGATTTAGTTATCATATAGCTGCAACATCCCTGGAGAGTAAAGCATCTTGTCTCGCCCAATATTAAACATTAAATTCATTAGGTTCTTTCTTTGAAAGAAATATAAAATAAATGCCACTTTCCTCACTTTTGACAATAGATGTTTATCAAATAATCAATTACCGTACTTATCAACATGTATCAGTCAACATTAAACTACATCTAACACTTTATGTTTTGTAAGGTCCAATTTATTTTTACACAAAATTATTCAGCCACAGATAACTATTGTTTACAGATTTGGCTTGGGTACGATGAAATAAAAAAATAGTTAATCATTATTATTTAATTCTAATTATAAAAAATAATTTGTCAACCCTGATCTCAGAGCAGGCATACGGAATAGGGTCCCTTGGCACATCAACTGATGCTATACATGCAGATACAGAACGGCAATTCTCTCTACTGCTGTTCCCTCTTGTGTAGAGTGCCAATTACAACAATGAGACTGGGTACAGGATATTACAGCATTACTAGTTTTCAGAAGATATTTAATTTGTTTAGAAGGCAAACATACAACATTATGCCAAATAGTGTATGAAAGGAATCTTTTGTGACAAATATAGTTTTCCTAAAACTAGTTTATGTACGACACCTCCATGGCATACTGAACGGTTTCCTTGGCCCACATTTCTGGGTGCAGAAATACTCAGGTCAGATCATTCAAAACAGGTCAAGTTTTTGAACCAGGCCTCACTAGAACCTGAGCACTGACAGACATGTGACATGTAGGCCAGAGGTCAGTGTGGCCATAGAGATAGGGATAACAACCTTGATATTTATGATGATGACCTTGATATTTATGGCTAGGGATAATGACCTGATGTTTAAGTTATTCATCTGTCAGGATTCATGGTTATTATAGTCCCCAGGGACCTATATATGCTATACAAGACTTAATGAATCGGATGGTTAGACTACAGGAATTCGAAGGTTTTCAAGAACAACAAAAAAGCATTTGTTTGTAAAGCTACTTAATTCTGTGGTCAGACTAAGTGACCTTGTTGATTGTCATCATAACCAACCCAACAGTGTTGGATATCTGTCCCAACAGTGTTTAATATCTGTCCCTATGGTGTTGGATATCTGTCCCAATGGTGTTGCATATCAGTCTCAACGGTGTTGGATATCTGTCCCAATGAGGTTGGATATCTGTCCCAACAGTGTTGCATATCAGTCCCAACGGTGTTGGATATCAGTCCCAACAGTGTTGGATATCAGTGCCAACAGTTTTGGATGTCAGTCACATCATAAATTGAAAAACTTAAAAAAAAAACATCAGTAATTTATAAAAGCGATATCTACTATGTCTAGTCTTAATAATGTATCAGTATTCAGCACATGATCTCTGCTAGTGTTCATGGTCTTCTCTCCAGGAGAAAACACAGATCCTACAACAGATCACAGGTGTTCCTAATAAATGTTGTCCGTAATAGAATATTCATATCTGTGGCAGAGCGTGTGGACGTGTGCAATACTGGGATGCATAGTTTAAAGAGGGCACGGTAACATGATTATTCCACTGATTACACAATGTTCACATCAGCATATTTAACGACTTACAAAAAAATTGCTGGCATAAACATATGAAGGTGGGAGAGTGCGAGTTAAAATTTAAAGCCACATTGGCAGTATTTCAACCATATCGTGACTATATAAAGTAATGCAATAATAATTCATACATTTAGACCATATATAAACATGTCAACAAATGACCATAAAAAACTCGACCATCACAGACCTGTTTCGAAAACTACATCTAACACTTTATGTTTTGTAAGACCCAATTTATTTTTACACAAAATTATTCGGCCACAGATTACTATTGTTTACAGATTTGGCTTGGGTACGATGAAATAAAAAAATAGTTAATCATTATTATTTATATAATAACGGTGTTGGATATCTGTCCCAACGGTGTTGGATATCAGTCCCAACGGTGTTGGATATCTGTCCCAACAGTTTTGGATATCAGTCCCAACGGTGTTGGATATCAGTCCCAACGGTGTTGGATATCAGTCCCAAAGGTGTTGAATATCAGTCCTACAGTGTTGGATATCAGTCCCAACGTTTTTGAATATCAGTCCTAATGGTGTTGGATATCATTCCCAAAGGTGTTGTATATCACTCCCAACGGTGTTGGATATCTGTCACTGGTTTTTCTGATGTAGAAAGGCCACCATCATTAAGATGGAATATTATTTTTTTTAGAGATAATAATTTGTCAAAAAATAATTTTTGCTGGTGACAATAAAAATGAAATTGGACTCTCCAATTATTATCAAAACTCTGTAAAAATAGAAATCAGGAGATTCTATGTTCAGCATCAACAGATTCTTCTTGAAATTTCATCTTATTATCTTGAAATTTCAAGATATAAAGTTGAAATTTCAAGATGCTGAAGTTGAAATTTCAAGATATAAAGTGGAAATTTCAAGGTATTGACTTGAAATTTCAACATACAGTAAATATCTTGAAATTTCAAGTTAGTATCGTGAAATTTCAAGTTAGTATCTTGAAATTTGAACTTATGTATCTTGAAATTTCAACATAGCATCTAGAAATTTCAACTTAGCATTTATTCAACAGGACCAAAAGGGTACAAATTTTGATAATGGCCAATATAATAAAAGTCAAAAAGTGATTTTTCACCCATGAGATCCCTTATCCATGGAAGCCATTTAGAGCCATTTGGTTTTTATCTCCTTGAAATTTCAACTTATTATCTTGAAATTTCAAGTTATAAAGTTGAAATTACAAGATGCTGAAGTTGAAATTTCAGATATTAAGTTGAAATTAATTTCAATATACCATTAACATCTTGAAATTTCAAGTTAGTATCTTGAAATTTCAACTTATGTATCTTGAAATTTCAACTTTCAACAGGACCGAAAGGGTATAAATTTTGATAATTACCAATATAATAAAAAGTCAAAAAGTGATTTTTCACCCATGAGGTCCCTTATCTATGGAAGCCATTTATAGACATTTGATTTTTATTTTCTTCTTGAAATTTCAACTTATTATCTTGAAATTTCAAGATAATAATTTGAAATTTTAAGATTATAACTTGAAATTTCAAGATGCTACGTTGAAATTTATAAGATGCTAAGTTCATATTTTAAGATGCTAACTTAATACCTTGAAATTTCAACTTAGTATCTTGAAATTTTAAGAAAGTAATAAAAAACAAATGGCCCTAAAAGGCTTCCGTACTTATCACATGGTTGGTCACATATAATTTATCTGTAACTTTACATAATGACCTATAGGTTTACTTGTTTATAATGAAGGTTCGGAATGGCAAGTGAATTCCTGGCTCAAAATTAACTGCCATAACAATAATGTGATGTCTGCATAATGGTTTAATATGATTTAGTATATAGCAGTAACAAGGCTCCATTTAACTATATAATACATGCACCAATGCAGCCTATTATTAAAAAAATGCAATTTAATATTTATGCCAACATGCACCAAGTATATCTGCCTAACCCTTACATTCCCACTCTAGAATGATCTTTGAACACACTCAGTACCTCTTAGGTTTTTGTCCCATACTATATCACGAATCTCTGTGTTATGTATAATATGTGTCATGCTTTCGTGGGCCTGACGTCATCAAGATTTGGGTACTTCAAGATTATGTGCATGTTCCTATTACGTTTTACAGAAATGTCATTAATTAATGTGACACAGGCAGCAGAAAGGCCTATGTTTCAATTTTCCATGAATAAATCAATCTCATTAAAATAAGATCTTAGTTCTTGCTGTCGCTGAACAACGATCTGAGGACATCCCATTACGGGTCATGTCAGAACGACCTTTCATCGGACCAAGTAGAATGTCGCTTACCAGATCTTGAAAGTGACTGTCGGAATGTGTTTTCTAAAACAAAAACGTTAACACGGGGTATTCCGAATGACAGTAACAGCAAAATTAACATCTACCTCTCGCTTCCGTGGGATAAACATATAACGGAGGAGGCGTTGCACAGTACGTGGGAAGCACTGCCATACAATCTCAACCATATATTAGACATTCCGGAATGTTCGTTTGTTCAGTTTTCAAAATTTTAATTGAGAACTGTGTCAACACATTTTTCAAGCGTAGTCTGTAATAGAAGTCGCCAGGTTAAAATGAATGCCATAAAGCTCGAGAAAGCTGCTTTCTAATTGGTTGGTGTCGACTTCTTGTTAGTTGTATCAGTGGTCAGTCAAAGTTCGCGAAAGGTTGTTCTGACGTGAGAGTGACGGGATGTCCTTTGTTTAGTGGCAGCGAGAACTTAGATCTGATTTTAATGAGATTGATGAATAAATGGGACCAGGGTGCAACTTTGTTGTGTCTGGTGCAACTGGGTTTTCATGTCAACATGCACCATATGCAAGTTAAATCAAGTTTCCTGTCATAAACAGGGATGTTGTAATATCCCTAGGATTTTATATAATATCCCGGGTTTTTTGTTAATACAAATTCTGTTAATATTGTTACATATGAATGTTTCTTGTTATATGATGTTTTGCATCTGAACACAAGATAATGAAGTGTAAAATCAAATGACAATTGTGTTCTTTCTATTCCTGCGGATCGATCACACAACCTTTGTATCTGTTGCCCAGTGAGTGTACCACAAGGCTACAGAGGTGCTGATAAATCACAATGCTTTGAAGAATTTTTTTTCAAGAAACGTGTGCCAGCAACAGATATTTTACGCCCCTTTCCTAAGGTACATGGAAAGTACCCTTTTTATGAGATATAAAACCCTCAACTTCGGGATAAACTTCAGGGCTGACACGGTTTTATCTGTTGGATTCCAGTGTTTTATCCTCCACAAAAAATGAAGTCCAGTCTGTGATTATTATACCCCTGACCTAAAAGGGTGGGCGTGTATAGTTATACCTTTGAATTCCTGTCGTCTGTCCTTCTTTCCTTCCGTCCATCTGCAGACATTTTTGTGTGCAACCTATAACTTGAAAACTCCTTCATGGGTTCTTTTCAAACTTAGTGAACACTCTCTATACCAATAGGAGGGGTGCAGTGTGTAGTTTGATTTTAATGTTTGGATTTTCTGAAAAACTGTTTTTCGTTTTTGGGACTTACAAATGTTTTACTTAAACATTTGTGTGACCTATTACTTGAAAACTTCTGCATGGAAAGTTTGATTTTGACAAAGTGGATTTTCTGAGAAAATAATGCATTTTCATATTTTGAACTGAGAAATGTGTTGAAGTCGAAGTCGGGGGTAGTAGTGAGCCCTGCTCACTTTTTACGTTGTTGAAATTATCAATTAGCACACTAAATAACTTTTTGCAGCATTTTCATGAGCAGGTTACTTCTTTTTTTTTTAACATTGAAGAATTAAAAATGGTTGATATGTCAGTTGTCTAATATCTAGGTGTGTGAAATCTGAAGAGAACTCAATTTTGTTTACTTGCTCACAGAATTGTAATGAGTTTCATACTTGAAACAGCCACTCTGAATGTAAGGTGATGTGTCTGGCATGGGACTGATTGCCTATGAAGGACAAGGTTGCGAGTTATGAAATAAATAAACAACATTTGACTCATATAACTTCCCATTTGTATTCACCGTACTAGATAAGTCTTTTTAAAATCAGATCATTTACTCTCATATGATACAGACCCGTGAAGATCCATGGTAGAATAGATCTTCAGCAACCCATACCCCTCTGAGGACATTGCTTTACTCGAACCCTGAGCAAAATTTGACCACCCAAATCTTAATGAAGTATGTGTGGGTTCCCGAGCCAATCAGATGTCAGCTTTCTGAAATGATCCATGTAAATTTCTTTACCACCATGATTCAGATCATAGCTCGGCTTAAATTTTGTGTGTGTGATTCCAGGTATAGTTTCCAAGAATATTCCTCTGGTAATCTGACTTTATCTGACTGGAGCTAAGCAGACATTGCAGTCCTATTAAAAATATTATTTGGAACCAGACAATTATCTGTTAAGCAATATTTGATCATTAACTCCTGACAGTATAAACAGGTTTTATTGTGTATTTATCATTCACTTTCATCAGAGTCAGTTCGATGTCGGGCTGCTGCACCTGCTGTGAATGTTCGGCCAGTCGATGATGAGCCTTCGGCGCCGATGGTGAAGACGGCCATCCCGGGTCCCAGATCCAAAGAGCTTCTAAGGGATCTGGAATCAATACAGGTGACCTGAAAGTTTGACCTGATAGTTTGACAGGGGAGAATTGTATTGTATAGACTGAAAAGGGCAGTATTATCATTATACAATAACTAGTCAAGGCTCTGGATATGAAATATATGTATCACAACACTTTGTTCAAAATGTAATTATCAAAATTCACTTCAAAGTAAAATCGTTTGAATGGATTCCAATTTTGACACAAGCCCTACAAAAATACAAATTATTTTCAAATTCAATTTTTATGCGTGATGTACAAGACAACAAAGTGTTGATCCATAATAGTTTGATATCTAACTAAAGTTGAGATGTGAAATGTGTTTGTGAAATGATACATATCAATACAGCTTACCTTAGAATTGGTGTCTTTGAGTTGGATGTCACTATGAACAGATGCATTGGTTAATCATATCCCAGAACATGGCCCATGGCAACAAGCTTGTTGAAACCTTGTTGCTTAAACAATAGGGATTGTCAAAACACAGCATACATCATATGAGATAAGTGCTATGACAAAGCAGCAGCATGAAGCTAAATATTGTTTGTTTCTAGTGTGTCTCAAGGCACAATGATTTTTCTATTTGCTCTTTGACGCTGCACTCAGCAATATTCTAGCAATATGACAGCAGTCTGTCATTAATTGAGTCTGGACCAGACATCATGAGCATCGATGTATTCAATTTGGATATTCTGCCCACCCGATCCCATTACTTGCCACTTATGACAAGCATGGGTTGCTGAAGGCTATTCTAACCCGGATCTTGACAGGTTGACACTCATGAAGATGTTAAGGTGTACGCTTTGGGATGTAGTGTCACCTGAAGATCCGGGGTAAAATAGATCTTCAGCAGCCCATGCTTGTTGTAAAAAGCAACTATGCTATACTAGTCTTAAGAGGCAACTAATGGGATATTGTGGTCAGACTCGCTGACTTGGTTGATGCATGTGTAGAAATATTGAAATTTCCTCTGATTATGTAGGATAGATGGTAGCATTTACGTGGTTAATAGCTCCTTACCGATATGTAGTTCGCTTGGGACAGCGCGTTTCAGATCTTGCCCCACGTGCGGGCACGTGCGTTTGTCGGCTGCATGCCGATTTAGTGTTTACAGTCGTGGGTCGTATGGTAAGAGCGCTCCGATTGGTTGGTGACAGACTGGATTAGCCAGTGGCTGCACTGTTTAGACGTGTTGACCCAGAGGTTACGTGTCCTTGCGAGTATATAAGAGATAGGCGCGAATGCTCTCATTGTCTTGCATGATTGGGAAGATCATTACAGATGAGGGAGACCACACCAAATTACCGTGTTCGGAGGACGAACAATTCCCCAATCCCTAGTGATTTTAGGCAATAAAGATCTAAATTCTGTGGCAACTTTAGAATTATTGGGTAAATTGTTAGAAAGCTGGGTTGGACGGGTGGATTTAAGCAGGAAATAATGTCAGCTATGTGATGTAGCTACATTGACCGATCGTGTTCGGAGGTCGAACATTTCCCCAATCCCTAGTGATTTTAGGCAATAAAGATCTAAATTCTGTGGCAACTTTAGAATTACTGGGTAAATTGTTAGAAAGCTGGGTTGGACGGGTGGATTTAAGCAGGAAATAATGTCAGCTATGTGATGTAGCTACATAGACCAATTGTGTTTGGAGGTTTGAAAGGGTGGTTTGTTTTCATAGACTGTGTTAAGGATGTTGTAGGGATTAAAGTGGGTTAGTGAGGGGTTTGCTTTAGGCTGCTTTTGAGTTTTATTTTGAGGGTATAAGTAGGATTTTTGATTAGGATTGATTGATTGATTGATTGATTTGTAATTGTTGTTGAGTTCGTATTTATATTTTGATACAGTTGGTTTTTTTTCGTTTTGTTTATTTTTCTGTAATAAACCTTTGAAACTTGATTATATTTTGTTGTGAATCACCTCCCTACATCCAACGAACTGAGGTTATAAAGGACAGACAGAGGGACCATAGACACTTTATTTTAGTATTTTCGGCATTAATATCTTCAGAATAAAAGAAACACAACGCAAAGTCATGGTGTCTTAAAGTGGCCAAAGTCTGTCCTGTTACATTTTTGGTGCCGAGACCAGGATGTAGTGGTATTGGTGATTTATACTGAAATTAATTAATTGAAATTAAATTAGGGATATTAGTTTAAAAAGGATAGTTTGTTAAAATGAATGCAAGTGAACAGGGTTTTGACTTGTTTAACTTCAGTTTCTTGTCACCTCCCTCTGAAGATAGTTTTCATGGTCTTCCATCTAGACCAGGAGTATTTACTTCTACCCCTAGACCGAGTGGATTTACACCAGGGTCGCAAACATTGATAGATGTAGGGATGAATGCATCCAGTGCAAACATGTTCCCACAATCAAACTCAGGTTATCCCTCTTTTTGGGACCAGAATGTGATTATACCTAGGGATGTGAGTACTCAAGCAGTAGACCACAGCAGAAGGTCTGTTAGATTTGATATACCAGTAGATGTTAGTGAGGGTGATAGGTTACCATATAGAGTTAACCCCATTGTAGGAGGAAGCATTTATCCTTCTTCACAGAGCAATCGACAAGTAGATAGGTTGGATAGCACACTCTGTTCTGATTTCAGAGGAAGACATGGTAGGCCCAGAGAAGGAACCTCCTCACGTTTTCTTTCTGATGGCAATGAAAGAATACCCAGCAGAAATTTTAAAATGACTAGAAGGGAAAAACAACCTGACACTTTCGATGGTAAAACTAGTGACTGGCAGGATTACATGGTGCATTTTGAGCAGGTCACCAACTGGAATGGTTGGAATGAGCAGGAGAAGGCTCAACAGCTCTCAATGAGTTTACGGGGGGCAGCTCAAAAGATGCTAAGCAGTTTAACCTTTGGGCAGTTGGGTGATTATAATGCCATCAGAAATGTCCTTCAACAAAGGTTTAATCCCAGGGAAAGGAGTGTTGCCTATCGATGTGAGTTTCGAAACAGGAGGCAAGAAAAAGATGAATCAGTCACTGATTATGGTTATCAATTGCGTAGGCTAGCCCTTTTGGCTTACCCGGAAGTGCCATACATGGCTCTAGAGATGCAGATCATAGACCAATTTGTCAATGGGCTAACCTCATTTGAAATGAAAAAGAAAGTGACCTTTAGCCATCCACACACTCTGGATGAGGCCATTTCTTCCGCACTAGAATACGAAGCAATGGAAGGCAATAGGGCTAGAAAACCTGTAGAAGGGAAAGTTAGTGTTGTTCAAAGCTCACCTGATCAAGAACATAGGGAAAAAAGGAACAGTGAGGTAGGACTAGGTGACATTTTGAAACTGATAGAAGAGAAGTTTAAAACTCTCGAGGGTTCGAATGGTCAGTCTAGGCTCAGACAAAAAGGTTGTTTCTATTGTCAGGAGAAAGACCACTTTAGGGACTATTGTCCAAAACTGCTGGCGAAATTAACTAAGAACTTAGCACTAACAGAGCAGACCGAAGGTAGATCGGAAAACATATAGAGGCTGAAGTAGAGGCCGTTGCTTCAGCCACTTGTCAGTCGATAAAGAGGCCATGTGCTGAGTTAGAGGTTGTGAGCCAAGTGGAGCAAGTTCCACTCCTACCAAATATTAGTATTACAACAGAAGTTTCTTCAGTTGATCAGGAAAAAGTACCTATTAGTCTTCGGAATGTGCAGGGCGATCCTAATTGCCTGTATATGGATATCCTTTTGAACAAAGGCTATTGTAGTACTTTGATTGATACAGGTTCACCTATTTCTCTACTTTCTCATGCTGACTTTAGAAGGTTGGGGTTCGGGGACTCGTTGCTCGTCCAAACGAACATCAACCTCACTACTGCTAATGGAAAGGATATAGATGTCAAGGGGCAGTTTATGGTTCAGTTTAGCTCGGGACGTTCAAGTTTTGAACAGAGTTTTGTGGTTGCTGACCTTGACAAGTTATCTGGAATCCTGGGCATGGGCTTTTTGGAGAAATATAGGGGAGAAATCAAAATTGTTAAGCAGGAATTGAAAACCTGCAAAGGCAAGATTAAACTGCACAAACTGAAGACTTACAACTGTTCGCGAGTTAGAGTGACAGAAAGAACCAAAATCCCAGCCCATTCCGAGAAAATGATATTTTGTAAAGCTGATACCGGTGTAATTGAACCTAATAAGTACTGGCGGAATAAGGGTCTTTTTGTCGCAAGGAGTTTGGTTCGGTCAGACAGAGAGCACTTGGTGATATCGGTACTGAATTTTAGTGGAAAAGGGGTGAACTTGGAACCAGATGGTGAAGACGGCCATCCCGGGTCCCAGATCCAAAGAGCTTCTAAGGGATCTGGAATCAATACAGGTGACCTGAAAGTTTGACCTGATAGTTTGACAGGGGAGAATTGTATTGTATAGACTGAAAAGGGCAGTATTATCATTATACAATAACTAGTCAAGGCTCTGGATATGAAATATATGTATCACAACACTTTGTTCAAAATGTAATTATCAAAATTCACTTCAAAGTAAAATCGTTTGAATGGATTCCAATTTTGACACAAGCCCTACAAAAATACAAATTATTTTCAAATTCAATTTTTATGCGTGATGTTCAAGACAACAAAGTGTTGATCCATAATAGTTTGATATCTAACTAAAGTTGAGATGTGAAATGTGTTTGTGAAATGATACATATCAATACAGCTTACCTTAGAATTGGTGTCTTTGAGTTGGATGTCACTATGAACAGATGCATTGGTTAATCATATCCCAGAACATGGCCCATGGCAACAAGCTTGTTGAAACCTTGTTGCTTAAACAATAGGGATTGTCAAAACACAGCATACATCATATGAGATAAGTGCTATGACAAAGCAGCAGCATGAAGCTAAATATTGTTTGTTTCTAGTGTGTCTCAAGGCACAATGATTTTTCTATTTGCTCTTTGACGCTGCACTCAGCAATATTCTAGCAATATGACAGCAGTCTGTCATTAATTGAGTCTGGACCAGACATCATGAGCATCGATGTATTCAATTTGGATATTCTGCCCACCCGATCCCATTACTTGCCACTTATGACAAGCATGGGTTGCTGAAGGCTATTCTAACCCGGATCTTGACAGGTTGACACTCATGAAGATGTTAAGGTGTACGCTTTGGGATGTAGTGTCACCTGAAGATCCGGGGTAAAATAGATCTTCAGCAGCCCCTTGCTTGTTGTAAAAAGCGACTATGCTATACTAGTCTTAAGAGGCAATTAATGGGATATTGTGGTCAGACTCGCTGACTTGGTTGATGCATGTGTAGAAATATTGAAATTTCCTCTGATTATGTAGGATAGATGGTAGCATTTACGTGGTTAATAGCTCCTTACCGATATGTAGTTCGCTTGGGACAGCGCGTTTCAGATCTTGCCCCACGTGCGGGCACGTGCGTTTGTCGGCTGCATGCCGATTTAGTGTTTACAGTCGTGGGTCGTATGGTAAGAGCGCTCCGATTGGTTGGTGACAGACTGGATTAGCCAGTGGCTGCACTGTTTAGACGTGTTGACCCAGAGGTTACGTGTCCTTGCGAGTATATAAGAGATAGGCACGAATGCTCTCATTGTATTGCATGATTGGGAAGATCATTACAGATGAGGGAGATCACACCAAATTACTGTGTTCGGAGGTCGAACATTTCCCCAATCCCTAGTGATTTTAGGCAATAAAGATCTAAATTCTGTGGCAACTTTAGAATTACTGGGTAAATTGTTAGAAAGCTGGGTTGGACGGGTGGATTTAAGCAGGAAATAATGTCAGCTATGTGATGTAGCTACATAGACCAATTGTGTTTGGAGGTTTGAAAGGGTGGTTTGTTTTCATAGACTGTGTTAAGGATGTTGTAGGGATTAAAGTGGGTTAGTGAGGGGTTTGCTTTAGGCTGCTTTTGAGTTTTATTTTGAGGGTATAAGTAGGATTTTTGATTAGGATTGATTGATTGATTGATTGATTTGTAATTGTTGTTGAGTTCGTATTTATATTTTGATACAGTTGGTTTTTTTTCGTTTTGTTTATTTTTCTGTAATAAACCTTTGAAACTTGATTATATTTTGTTGTGAATCACCTCCCTACATCCAACGAACTGAGGTTATAAAGGACAGACAGAGGGACCATAGACACTTTATTTTAGTATTTTCGGCATTAATATCTTCAGAATAAAAGAAACACAACGCAAAGTCATGGTGTCTTAAAGTGGCCAAAGTCTGTCCTGTTACATTTTTGGTGCCGAGACCAGGATGTAGTGGTATTGGTGATTTATACTGAAATTAATTAATTGAAATTAAATTAGGGATATTAGTTTAAAAAGGATAGTTTGTTAAAATGAATGCAAGTGAACAGGGTTTTGACTTGTTTAACTTCAGTTTCTTGTCACCTCCCTCTGAAGATAGTTTTCATGGTCTTCCATCTAGACCAGGAGTATTTACTTCTACCCCTAGACCGAGTGGATTTACACCAGGGTCGCAAACATTGATAGATGTAGGGATGAATGCATCCAGTGCAAACATGTTCCCACAATCAAACTCAGGTTATCCCTCTTTTTGGGACCAGAATGTGATTATACCTAGGGATGTGAGTACTCAAGCAGTAGACCACAGCAGAAGGTCTGTTAGATTTGATATACCAGTAGATGTTAGTGAGGGTGATAGGTTACCATATAGAGTTAACCCCATTGTAGGAGGAAGCATTTATCCTTCTTCACAGAGCAATCGACAAGTAGATAGGTTGGATAGCACACTCTGTTCTGATTTCAGAGGAAGACATGGTAGGCCCAGAGAAGGAACCTCCTCACGTTTTCTTTCTGATGGCAATGAAAGAATACCCAGCAGAAATTTTAAAATGACTAGAAGGGAAAAACAACCTGACACTTTCGATGGTAAAACTAGTGACTGGCAGGATTACATGGTGCATTTTGAGCAGGTCACCAACTGGAATGGTTGGAATGAGCAGGAGAAGGCTCAACAGCTCTCAATGAGTTTACGGGGGGCAGCTCAAAAGATGCTAAGCAGTTTAACCTTTGGGCAGTTGGGTGATTATAATGCCATCAGAAATGTCCTTCAACAAAGGTTTAATCCCAGGGAAAGGAGTGTTGCCTATCGATGTGAGTTTCGAAACAGGAGGCAAGAAAAAGATGAATCAGTCACTGATTATGGTTATCAATTGCGTAGGCTAGCCCTTTTGGCTTACCCGGAAGTGCCATACATGGCTCTAGAGATGCAGATCATAGACCAATTTGTCAATGGGCTAACCTCATTTGAAATGAAAAAGAAAGTGACCTTTAGCCATCCACACACTCTGGATGAGGCCATTTCTTCCGCACTAGAATACGAAGCAATGGAAGGCAATAGGGCTAGAAAACCTGTAGAAGGGAAAGTTAGTGTTGTTCAAAGCTCACCTGATCAAGAACATAGGGAAAAAAGGAACAGTGAGGTAGGACTAGGTGACATTTTGAAACTGATAGAAGAGAAGTTTAAAACTCTCGAGGGTTCGAATGGTCAGTCTAGGCTCAGACAAAAAGGTTGTTTCTATTGTCAGGAGAAAGACCACTTTAGGGACTATTGTCCAAAACTGCTGGCGAAATTAACTAAGAACTTAGCACTAACAGAGCAGACCGAAGGTAGATCGGAAAACATATAGAGGCTGAAGTAGAGGCCGTTGCTTCAGCCACTTGTCAGTCGATAAAGAGGCCATGTGCTGAGTTAGAGGTTGTGAGCCAAGTGGAGCAAGTTCCACTCCTACCAAATATTAGTATTACAACAGAAGTTTCTTCAGTTGATCAGGAAAAAGTACCTATTAGTCTTCGGAATGTGCAGGGCGATCCTAATTGCCTGTATATGGATATCCTTTTGAACAAAGGCTATTGTAGTACTTTGATTGATACAGGTTCACCTATTTCTCTACTTTCTCATGCTGACTTTAGAAGGTTGGGGTTCGGGGACTCGTTGCTCGTCCAAACGAACATCAACCTCACTACTGCTAATGGAAAGGATATAGATGTCAAGGGGCAGTTTATGGTTCAGTTTAGCTCGGGACGTTCAAGTTTTGAACAGAGTTTTGTGGTTGCTGACCTTGACAAGTTATCTGGAATCCTGGGCATGGGCTTTTTGGAGAAATATAGGGGAGAAATCAAAATTGTTAAGCAGGAATTGAAAACCTGCAAAGGCAAGATTAAACTGCACAAACTGAAGACTTACAACTGTTCGCGAGTTAGAGTGACAGAAAGAACCAAAATCCCAGCCCATTCCGAGAAAATGATATTTTGTAAAGCTGATACCGGTGTAATTGAACCTAATAAGTACTGGCGGAATAAGGGTCTTTTTGTCGCAAGGAGTTTGGTTCGGTCAGACAGAGAGCACTTGGTGATATCGGTACTGAATTTTAGTGGAAAAGGGGTGAACTTGGAACCAGATGGTGAAGACGGCCATCCCGGGTCCCAGATCCAAAGAGCTTCTAAGGGATCTGGAATCAATACAGGTGACCTGAAAGTTTGACCTGATAGTTTGACAGGGGAGAATTGTATTGTATAGACTGAAAAGGGCAGTATTATCATTATACAATAACTAGTCAAGGCTCTGGATATGAAATATATGTATCACAACACTTTGTTCAAAATGTAATTATCAAAATTCACTTCAAAGTAAAATCGTTTGAATGGATTCCAATTTTGACACAAGCCCTACAAAAATACAAATTATTTTCAAATTCAATTTTTATGCGTGATGTTCAAGACAACAAAGTGTTGATCCATAATAGTTTGATATCTAACTAAAGTTGAGATGTGAAATGTGTTTGTGAAATGATACATATCAATACAGCTTACCTTAGAATTGGTGTCTTTGAGTTGGATGTCACTATGAACAGATGCATTGGTTAATCATATCCCAGAACATGGCCCATGGCAACAAGCTTGTTGAAACCTTGTTGCTTAAACAATAGGGATTGTCAAAACACAGCATACATCATATGAGATAAGTGCTATGACAAAGCAGCAGCATGAAGCTAAATATTGTTTGTTTCTAGTGTGTCTCAAGGCACAATGATTTTTCTATTTGCTCTTTGACGCTGCACTCAGCAATATTCTAGCAATATGACAGCAGTCTGTCATTAATTGAGTCTGGACCAGACATCATGAGCATCGATGTATTCAATTTGGATATTCTGCCCACCCGATCCCATTACTTGCCACTTATGACAAGCATGGGTTGCTGAAGGCTATTCTAACCCGGATCTTGACAGGTTGACACTCATGAAGATGTTAAGGTGTACGCTTTGGGATGTAGTGTCACCTGAAGATCCGGGGTAAAATAGATCTTCAGCAGCCCCTTGCTTGTTGTAAAAAGCGACTATGCTATACTAGTCTTAAGAGGCAATTAATGGGATATTGTGGTCAGACTCGCTGACTTGGTTGATGCATGTGTAGAAATATTGAAATTTCCTCTGATTATGTAGGATAGATGGTAGCATTTACGTGGTTAATAGCTCCTTACCGATATGTAGTTCGCTTGGGACAGCGCGTTTCAGATCTTGCCCCACGTGCGGGCACGTGCGTTTGTCGGCTGCATGCCGATTTAGTGTTTACAGTCGTGGGTCGTATGGTAAGAGCGCTCCGATTGGTTGGTGACAGACTGGATTAGCCAGTGGCTGCACTGTTTAGACGTGTTGACCCAGAGGTTACGTGTCCTTGCGAGTATATAAGAGATAGGCACGAATGCTCTCATTGTATTGCATGATTGGGAAGATCATTACAGATGAGGGAGATCACACCAAATTACTGTGTTCGGAGGTCGAACATTTCCCCAATCCCTAGTGATTTTAGGCAATAAAGATCTAAATTCTGTGGCAACTTTAGAATTACTGGGTAAATTGTTAGAAAGCTGGGTTGGACGGGTGGATTTAAGCAGGAAATAATGTCAGCTATGTGATGTAGCTACATAGACCAATTGTGTTTGGAGGTTTGAAAGGGTGGTTTGTTTTCATAGACTGTGTTAAGGATGTTGTAGGGATTAAAGTGGGTTAGTGAGGGGTTTGCTTTAGGCTGCTTTTGAGTTTTATTTTGAGGGTATAAGTAGGATTTTTGATTAGGATTGATTGATTGATTGATTGATTTGTAATTGTTGTTGAGTTCGTATTTATATTTTGATACAGTTGGTTTTTTTTCGTTTTGTTTATTTTTCTGTAATAAACCTTTGAAACTTGATTATATTTTGTTGTGAATCACCTCCCTACATCCAACGAACTGAGGTTATAAAGGACAGACAGAGGGACCATAGACACTTTATTTTAGTATTTTCGGCATTAATATCTTCAGAATAAAAGAAACACAACGCAAAGTCATGGTGTCTTAAAGTGGCCAAAGTCTGTCCTGTTACATTTTTGGTGCCGAGACCAGGATGTAGTGGTATTGGTGATTTATACTGAAATTAATTAATTGAAATTAAATTAGGGATATTAGTTTAAAAAGGATAGTTTGTTAAAATGAATGCAAGTGAACAGGGTTTTGACTTGTTTAACTTCAGTTTCTTGTCACCTCCCTCTGAAGATAGTTTTCATGGTCTTCCATCTAGACCAGGAGTATTTACTTCTACCCCTAGACCGAGTGGATTTACACCAGGGTCGCAAACATTGATAGATGTAGGGATGAATGCATCCAGTGCAAACATGTTCCCACAATCAAACTCAGGTTATCCCTCTTTTTGGGACCAGAATGTGATTATACCTAGGGATGTGAGTACTCAAGCAGTAGACCACAGCAGAAGGTCTGTTAGATTTGATATACCAGTAGATGTTAGTGAGGGTGATAGGTTACCATATAGAGTTAACCCCATTGTAGGAGGAAGCATTTATCCTTCTTCACAGAGCAATCGACAAGTAGATAGGTTGGATAGCACACTCTGTTCTGATTTCAGAGGAAGACATGGTAGGCCCAGAGAAGGAACCTCCTCACGTTTTCTTTCTGATGGCAATGAAAGAATACCCAGCAGAAATTTTAAAATGACTAGAAGGGAAAAACAACCTGACACTTTCGATGGTAAAACTAGTGACTGGCAGGATTACATGGTGCATTTTGAGCAGGTCACCAACTGGAATGGTTGGAATGAGCAGGAGAAGGCTCAACAGCTCTCAATGAGTTTACGGGGGGCAGCTCAAAAGATGCTAAGCAGTTTAACCTTTGGGCAGTTGGGTGATTATAATGCCATCAGAAATGTCCTTCAACAAAGGTTTAATCCCAGGGAAAGGAGTGTTGCCTATCGATGTGAGTTTCGAAACAGGAGGCAAGAAAAAGATGAATCAGTCACTGATTATGGTTATCAATTGCGTAGGCTAGCCCTTTTGGCTTACCCGGAAGTGCCATACATGGCTCTAGAGATGCAGATCATAGACCAATTTGTCAATGGGCTAACCTCATTTGAAATGAAAAAGAAAGTGACCTTTAGCCATCCACACACTCTGGATGAGGCCATTTCTTCCGCACTAGAATACGAAGCAATGGAAGGCAATAGGGCTAGAAAACCTGTAGAAGGGAAAGTTAGTGTTGTTCAAAGCTCACCTGATCAAGAACATAGGGAAAAAAGGAACAGTGAGGTAGGACTAGGTGACATTTTGAAACTGATAGAAGAGAAGTTTAAAACTCTCGAGGGTTCGAATGGTCAGTCTAGGCTCAGACAAAAAGGTTGTTTCTATTGTCAGGAGAAAGACCACTTTAGGGACTATTGTCCAAAACTGCTGGCGAAATTAACTAAGAACTTAGCACTAACAGAGCAGACCGAAGGTAGATCGGAAAACATATAGAGGCTGAAGTAGAGGCCGTTGCTTCAGCCACTTGTCAGTCGATAAAGAGGCCATGTGCTGAGTTAGAGGTTGTGAGCCAAGTGGAGCAAGTTCCACTCCTACCAAATATTAGTATTACAACAGAAGTTTCTTCAGTTGATCAGGAAAAAGTACCTATTAGTCTTCGGAATGTGCAGGGCGATCCTAATTGCCTGTATATGGATATCCTTTTGAACAAAGGCTATTGTAGTACTTTGATTGATACAGGTTCACCTATTTCTCTACTTTCTCATGCTGACTTTAGAAGGTTGGGGTTCGGGGACTCGTTGCTCGTCCAAACGAACATCAACCTCACTACTGCTAATGGAAAGGATATAGATGTCAAGGGGCAGTTTATGGTTCAGTTTAGCTCGGGACGTTCAAGTTTTGAACAGAGTTTTGTGGTTGCTGACCTTGACAAGTTATCTGGAATCCTGGGCATGGGCTTTTTGGAGAAATATAGGGGAGAAATCAAAATTGTTAAGCAGGAATTGAAAACCTGCAAAGGCAAGATTAAACTGCACAAACTGAAGACTTACAACTGTTCGCGAGTTAGAGTGACAGAAAGAACCAAAATCCCAGCCCATTCCGAGAAAATGATATTTTGTAAAGCTGATACCGGTGTAATTGAACCTAATAAGTACTGGCGGAATAAGGGTCTTTTTGTCGCAAGGAGTTTGGTTCGGTCAGACAGAGAGCACTTGGTGATATCGGTACTGAATTTTAGTGGAAAAGGGGTGAACTTGGAACCAGATGGTGAAGACGGCCATCCCGGGTCCCAGATCCAAAGAGCTTCTAAGGGATCTGGAATCAATACAGGTGACCTGAAAGTTTGACCTGATAGTTTGACAGGGGAGAATTGTATTGTATAGACTGAAAAGGGCAGTATTATCATTATACAATAACTAGTCAAGGCTCTGGATATGAAATATATGTATCACAACACTTTGTTCAAAATGTAATTATCAAAATTCACTTCAAAGTAAAATCGTTTGAATGGATTCCAATTTTGACACAAGCCCTACAAAAATACAAATTATTTTCAAATTCAATTTTTATGCGTGATGTACAAGACAACAAAGTGTTGATCCATAATAGTTTGATATCTAACTAAAGTTGAGATGTGAAATGTGTTTGTGAAATGATACATATCAATACAGCTTACCTTAGAATTGGTGTCTTTGAGTTGGATGTCACTATGAACAGATGCATTGGTTAATCATATCCCAGAACATGGCCCATGGCAACAAGCTTGTTGAAACCTTGTTGCTTAAACAATAGGGATTGTCAAAACACAGCATACATCATATGAGATAAGTGCTATGACAAAGCAGCAGCATGAAGCTAAATATTGTTTGTTTCTAGTGTGTCTCAAGGCACAATGATTTTTCTATTTGCTCTTTGACGCTGCACTCAGCAATATTCTAGCAATATGACAGCAGTCTGTCATTAATTGAGTCTGGACCAGACATCATGAGCATCGATGTATTCAATTTGGATATTCTGCCCACCCGATCCCATTACTTGCCACTTATGACAAGCATGGGTTGCTGAAGGCTATTCTAACCCGGATCTTGACAGGTTGACACTCATGAAGATGTTAAGGTGTACGCTTTGGGATGTAGTGTCACCTGAAGATCCGGGGTAAAATAGATCTTCAGCAGCCCCTTGCTTGTTGTAAAAAGCGACTATGCTATACTAGTCTTAAGAGGCAATTAATGGGATATTGTGGTCAGACTCGCTGACTTGGTTGATGCATGTGTAGAAATATTGAAATTTCCTCTGATTATGTAGGATAGATGGTAGCATTTACGTGGTTAATAGCTCCTTACCGATATGTAGTTCGCTTGGGACAGCGCGTTTCAGATCTTGCCCCACGTGCGGGCACGTGCGTTTGTCGGCTGCATGCCGATTTAGTGTTTACAGTCGTGGGTCGTATGGTAAGAGCGCTCCGATTGGTTGGTGACAGACTGGATTAGCCAGTGGCTGCACTGTTTAGACGTGTTGACCCAGAGGTTACGTGTCCTTGCGAGTATATAAGAGATAGGCACGAATGCTCTCATTGTATTGCATGATTGGGAAGATCATTACAGATGAGGGAGATCACACCAAATTACTGTGTTCGGAGGTCGAACATTTCCCCAATCCCTAGTGATTTTAGGCAATAAAGATCTAAATTCTGTGGCAACTTTAGAATTACTGGGTAAATTGTTAGAAAGCTGGGTTGGACGGGTGGATTTAAGCAGGAAATAATGTCAGCTATGTGATGTAGCTACATAGACCAATTGTGTTTGGAGGTTTGAAAGGGTGGTTTGTTTTCATAGACTGTGTTAAGGATGTTGTAGGGATTAAAGTGGGTTAGTGAGGGGTTTGCTTTAGGCTGCTGTTGAGTTTTATTTTGAGGGTATAAGTAGGATTTTTGATTAGGATTGATTGATTGATTGATTGATTTGTAATTGTTGTTGAGTTCGTATTTATATTTTGATACAGTTGGTTTTTTTTCGTTTTGTTTATTTTTCTGTAATAAACCTTTGAAACTTGATTATATTTTGTTGTGAATCACCTCCCTACATCCAACGAACTGAGGTTATAAAGGACAGACAGAGGGACCATAGACACTTTATTTTAGTATTTTCGGCATTAATATCTTCAGAATAAAAGAAACACAACGCAAAGTCATGGTGTCTTAAAGTGGCCAAAGTCTGTCCTGTTACATTTTTGGTGCCGAGACCAGGATGTAGTGGTATTGGTGATTTATACTGAAATTAATTAATTGAAATTAAATTAGGGATATTAGTTTAAAAAGGATAGTTTGTTAAAATGAATGCAAGTGAACAGGGTTTTGACTTGTTTAACTTCAGTTTCTTGTCACCTCCCTCTGAAGATAGTTTTCATGGTCTTCCATCTAGACCAGGAGTATTTACTTCTACCCCTAGACCGAGTGGATTTACACCAGGGTCGCAAACATTGATAGATGTAGGGATGAATGCATCCAGTGCAAACATGTTCCCACAATCAAACTCAGGTTATCCCTCTTTTTGGGACCAGAATGTGATTATACCTAGGGATGTGAGTACTCAAGCAGTAGACCACAGCAGAAGGTCTGTTAGATTTGATATACCAGTAGATGTTAGTGAGGGTGATAGGTTACCATATAGAGTTAACCCCATTGTAGGAGGAAGCATTTATCCTTCTTCACAGAGCAATCGACAAGTAGATAGGTTGGATAGCACACTCTGTTCTGATTTCAGAGGAAGACATGGTAGGCCCAGAGAAGGAACCTCCTCACGTTTTCTTTCTGATGGCAATGAAAGAATACCCAGCAGAAATTTTAAAATGACTAGAAGGGAAAAACAACCTGACACTTTCGATGGTAAAACTAGTGACTGGCAGGATTACATGGTGCATTTTGAGCAGGTCACCAACTGGAATGGTTGGAATGAGCAGGAGAAGGCTCAACAGCTCTCAATGAGTTTACGGGGGGCAGCTCAAAAGATGCTAAGCAGTTTAACCTTTGGGCAGTTGGGTGATTATAATGCCATCAGAAATGTCCTTCAACAAAGGTTTAATCCCAGGGAAAGGAGTGTTGCCTATCGATGTGAGTTTCGAAACAGGAGGCAAGAAAAAGATGAATCAGTCACTGATTATGGTTATCAATTGCGTAGGCTAGCCCTTTTGGCTTACCCGGAAGTGCCATACATGGCTCTAGAGATGCAGATCATAGACCAATTTGTCAATGGGCTAACCTCATTTGAAATGAAAAAGAAAGTGACCTTTAGCCATCCACACACTCTGGATGAGGCCATTTCTTCCGCACTAGAATACGAAGCAATGGAAGGCAATAGGGCTAGAAAACCTGTAGAAGGGAAAGTTAGTGTTGTTCAAAGCTCACCTGATCAAGAACATAGGGAAAAAAGGAACAGTGAGGTAGGACTAGGTGACATTTTGAAACTGATAGAAGAGAAGTTTAAAACTCTCGAGGGTTCGAATGGTCAGTCTAGGCTCAGACAAAAAGGTTGTTTCTATTGTCAGGAGAAAGACCACTTTAGGGACTATTGTCCAAAACTGCTGGCGAAATTAACTAAGAACTTAGCACTAACAGAGCAGACCGAAGGTAGATCGGAAAACATATAGAGGCTGAAGTAGAGGCCGTTGCTTCAGCCACTTGTCAGTCGATAAAGAGGCCATGTGCTGAGTTAGAGGTTGTGAGCCAAGTGGAGCAAGTTCCACTCCTACCAAATATTAGTATTACAACAGAAGTTTCTTCAGTTGATCAGGAAAAAGTACCTATTAGTCTTCGGAATGTGCAGGGCGATCCTAATTGCCTGTATATGGATATCCTTTTGAACAAAGGCTATTGTAGTACTTTGATTGATACAGGTTCACCTATTTCTCTACTTTCTCATGCTGACTTTAGAAGGTTGGGGTTCGGGGACTCGTTGCTCGTCCAAACGAACATCAACCTCACTACTGCTAATGGAAAGGATATAGATGTCAAGGGGCAGTTTATGGTTCAGTTTAGCTCGGGACGTTCAAGTTTTGAACAGAGTTTTGTGGTTGCTGACCTTGACAAGTTATCTGGAATCCTGGGCATGGGCTTTTTGGAGAAATATAGGGGAGAAATCAAAATTGTTAAGCAGGAATTGAAAACCTGCAAAGGCAAGATTAAACTGCACAAACTGAAGACTTACAACTGTTCGCGAGTTAGAGTGACAGAAAGAACCAAAATCCCAGCCCATTCCGAGAAAATGATATTTTGTAAAGCTGATACCGGTGTAATTGAACCTAATAAGTACTGGCGGAATAAGGGTCTTTTTGTCGCAAGGAGTTTGGTTCGGTCAGACAGAGAGCACTTGGTGATATCGGTACTGAATTTTAGTGGAAAAGGGGTGAACTTGGAACCAGATGGTGAAGACGGCCATCCCGGGTCCCAGATCCAAAGAGCTTCTAAGGGATCTGGAATCAATACAGGTGACCTGAAAGTTTGACCTGATAGTTTGACAGGGGAGAATTGTATTGTATAGACTGAAAAGGGCAGTATTATCATTATACAATAACTAGTCAAGGCTCTGGATATGAAATATATGTATCACAACACTTTGTTCAAAATGTAATTATCAAAATTCACTTCAAAGTAAAATCGTTTGAATGGATTCCAATTTTGACACAAGCCCTACAAAAATACAAATTATTTTCAAATTCAATTTTTATGCGTGATGTACAAGACAACAAAGTGTTGATCCATAATAGTTTGATATCTAACTAAAGTTGAGATGTGAAATGTGTTTGTGAAATGATACATATCAATACAGCTTACCTTAGAATTGGTGTCTTTGAGTTGGATGTCACTATGAACAGATGCATTGGTTAATCATATCCCAGAACATGGCCCATGGCAACAAGCTTGTTGAAACCTTGTTGCTTAAACAATAGGGATTGTCAAAACACAGCATACATCATATGAGATAAGTGCTATGACAAAGCAGCAGCATGAAGCTAAATATTGTTTGTTTCTAGTGTGTCTCAAGGCACAATGATTTTTCTATTTGCTCTTTGACGCTGCACTCAGCAATATTCTAGCAATATGACAGCAGTCTGTCATTAATTGAGTCTGGACCAGACATCATGAGCATCGATGTATTCAATTTGGATATTCTGCCCACCCGATCCCATTACTTGCCACTTATGACAAGCATGGGTTGCTGAAGGCTATTCTAACCCGGATCTTGACAGGTTGACACTCATGAAGATGTTAAGGTGTACGCTTTGGGATGTAGTGTCACCTGAAGATCCGGGGTAAAATAGATCTTCAGCAGCCCCTTGCTTGTTGTAAAAAGCGACTATGCTATACTAGTCTTAAGAGGCAATTAATGGGATATTGTGGTCAGACTCGCTGACTTGGTTGATGCATGTGTAGAAATATTGAAATTTCCTCTGATTATGTAGGATAGATGGTAGCATTTACGTGGTTAATAGCTCCTTACCGATATGTAGTTCGCTTGGGACAGCGCGTTTCAGATCTTGCCCCACGTGCGGGCACGTGCGTTTGTCGGCTGCATGCCGATTTAGTGTTTACAGTCGTGGGTCGTATGGTAAGAGCGCTCCGATTGGTTGGTGACAGACTGGATTAGCCAGTGGCTGCACTGTTTAGACGTGTTGACCCAGAGGTTACGTGTCCTTGCGAGTATATAAGAGATAGGCACGAATGCTCTCATTGTATTGCATGATTGGGAAGATCATTACAGATGAGGGAGATCACACCAAATTACTGTGTTCGGAGGTCGAACATTTCCCCAATCCCTAGTGATTTTAGGCAATAAAGATCTAAATTCTGTGGCAACTTTAGAATTACTGGGTAAATTGTTAGAAAGCTGGGTTGGACGGGTGGATTTAAGCAGGAAATAATGTCAGCTATGTGATGTAGCTACATAGACCAATTGTGTTTGGAGGTTTGAAAGGGTGGTTTGTTTTCATAGACTGTGTTAAGGATGTTGTAGGGATTAAAGTGGGTTAGTGAGGGGTTTGCTTTAGGCTGCTGTTGAGTTTTATTTTGAGGGTATAAGTAGGATTTTTGATTAGGATTGATTGATTGATTGATTGATTTGTAATTGTTGTTGAGTTCGTATTTATATTTTGATACAGTTGGTTTTTTTTCGTTTTGTTTATTTTTCTGTAATAAACCTTTGAAACTTGATTATATTTTGTTGTGAATCACCTCCCTACATCCAACGAACTGAGGTTATAAAGGACAGACAGAGGGACCATAGACACTTTATTTTAGTATTTTCGGCATTAATATCTTCAGAATAAAAGAAACACAACGCAAAGTCATGGTGTCTTAAAGTGGCCAAAGTCTGTCCTGTTACATTTTTGGTGCCGAGACCAGGATGTAGTGGTATTGGTGATTTATACTGAAATTAATTAATTGAAATTAAATTAGGGATATTAGTTTAAAAAGGATAGTTTGTTAAAATGAATGCAAGTGAACAGGGTTTTGACTTGTTTAACTTCAGTTTCTTGTCACCTCCCTCTGAAGATAGTTTTCATGGTCTTCCATCTAGACCAGGAGTATTTACTTCTACCCCTAGACCGAGTGGATTTACACCAGGGTCGCAAACATTGATAGATGTAGGGATGAATGCATCCAGTGCAAACATGTTCCCACAATCAAACTCAGGTTATCCCTCTTTTTGGGACCAGAATGTGATTATACCTAGGGATGTGAGTACTCAAGCAGTAGACCACAGCAGAAGGTCTGTTAGATTTGATATACCAGTAGATGTTAGTGAGGGTGATAGGTTACCATATAGAGTTAACCCCATTGTAGGAGGAAGCATTTATCCTTCTTCACAGAGCAATCGACAAGTAGATAGGTTGG